TATTTATTTATTTATTTATTTATTTATTTATTTATTTATTTATTTATTTATTTATTTATTTGGTCAGGCTCTGATGAAGGGATATCCATCAGGCCCACCAGTGAGCCGCTCCACTCCCTCGGACTCCCACCTTATCTGAAAAAGGGATGGCTGCACATATAAAAATGCTTATAACTGAAATCATCCTTCTTCAACCACCGAATCCCATGTTGCATTGCGGGTGAAAGCTGTCTGTTCACACAGAAACGGAGAGCAGGACAAAGGAAATTTTCATATTTCACTTTTGCCTTGACACAAAATAAACTTTTAGGTTTTTAGGCAGGAATGTAACACTGTAGAACTCAAACATTACTCGCTTTATCAATACAATTACAATTTTACTCCAACGTTTTCAGACATGTCCGTTGTTACTACACTCTGCCCGGCAGCTATCAGCTGACCTGCTGCTTCCTGCTGGAGACATCGTTTGACTCTCAGGGCACGTTTTCATACTCGGGGTGGAAACTTTTGCTGGTGTGCACACTAATTATTATAATTTTTTATCATGGTTTTAAAAACTCTATTCTCACAAGGATGCATCACCGCATGCGTGGAACATCCAGCCATCAGTGCGCTGTTAAATGGGATAACCCAGCTGTTAATCATACAGAAGCGCGCTGCAGGCAGGGGTGGACTGGCATGCAAGTCTACACACTTTTCCCAGTGAGTCGATGTGTTTGTGGGCCGATAGGCTGCTGGTGGTTCGGGCAGAAGAGGTGCTGTCACCGTCGGCCCCGTGGTCACAGCAGCACTTGTTTTGTGGAACCACCATAATGCGCCTCCAGCTGATCTGCTCAGAGCGCAGCCAGCCAGCCGCAGGGTGGGCTTATTAACACTATAGATTAGTAACTCAGCAGACACAAATTTAAGCAGTTTGGTCCCTGCTGGAGCCACATATACAGTAACCCTATTTGTCTCTCACATCTAACAGAGATGTGTGGTGCTGTGGCTTCAGCTCGTCATTCCTCTGTGGAACAGCACCTGTCAATCACCAGGGGGCACAACAAGTGAGGATGCCCGGGAGAGGCTATGCCCACCCCAAAAATTTGGTGGCCCCACCAGTTATCTTTGCTTTGTGCTCATTTTAATTCCCCCTAGCTATTTAGGATTAGTAAAACAGTATAAATATAATAAATGTTTTTGCAAAACTAATAATTAAAATAAAATATACTTTAAATGACCCAAACTTCAAATAGTAGACTAAAACAAATGTCTAAAACTGTTGTCATATTG